CGCTGTTCAGTCTTATATTTTAGTTAGGGAAAACTAATTGAGGCTAATAAAATTCTGATAAGATTCGTGACCGTAATCTATAGATTGAGAGTTATGATTGTTTTACTAGGATTTTGGCGTATTCGTAATTATTTCTAAAAATGTTGAATCACCAAAACTGAGATTTGAAACGTTAATTTAAGGTACGTCTGATGGACTTGATAATACTTGAGAACTTTGAGCTAGTAACATTATTATTTTCTCACGATATTGCGTATTCATGTAAATTCCGTTTACATGCTAGGTTGTTGATAAATAATTATATTTTGAAGATTCAACATCAGAGCAAAAGAACATTAAAGTTCAGTTAATACTTTCAGAAAGCTACAGGTAGTCAAAAAAGTATCCGGATACCTACGTATTTTTTCGTATCTCTTAGTTTGTAAAGCAGAAACAAGAAGTATTATTTTTCTTTTTTAGCCAATAGATAGTCCTCACTTCATACTAGATTCTCTATAAAAATAAGTAACTTTGTTTATCATCTCGAATTACAGGAAGCTTTTCTCACAAAAATGCCTGATGGGTGTGGGTGTGGGTATGGAGGGTCGGTGTGGGAGTGGATGTGTATTTATATGGATATGAACAATAAGAAGATTAACACCCACACCCACACCCTCCTATCAGAGAATTTCTCATTTCAAATACAAAATCGATTGAAAAAATGGAAAATTTTTGTTCTTTGTTTATTTGTATATTCTTGAATGATCTCATCGTAGTTTGAAATCCGAGAGCACTAACATTGATTGTTAGTATCTATAAACAAAAGCTGACTACTTTCTGGTGGCTGCTTTTTTCATCTAATTTGAGTAAAGATAATGATCTTTATGATCATTGTATTGCTTCTAACAGTTTTGTTTGCATACACATTTTCTATGTTCGCTCATTTCAAATGTTTATTTCATCTTAAATAACAAAATTCTAGTCTACAAACAAGTACAAATCAAATCTTTGTTTTGTTCATTAGATTTTATTTATTGTCTTTTCTTTCATCATTTTATTTGATTCCATCGAATTCGACGATTTCTTTGGGTTCTTGGATTTGATCAAGAATAACTTTAGCTTCAGAACCACCATCGACCTCGCTCTGATCAATTGAAATCAAGAGAAGTCGAGCAGTTTCATCAAGATCATCGTTATTACGGTCAAAATTTTCAATAATATCATAAGCCTTCGCCCAACAGTTCAATTTGCATCTTGTGAGTAACATATATTTGGCGACATCAAGCCGACTGTTGGCCCGGAATAATTTGATCTCATTAGCTTCATAGAGACCTTCATCAATCATCGAAGTTAACACGAATAATTTCTTCTCTTTGTTCGTTGATTGAGTCATTCTTTATTTCTTTCTGTTTATCTTATCGATGACGACAGGATTATATACTAGCACTAACAAAAAGAATAAAATAGACAATGCACAAAAACGTATTGTATTGACGAAGACCAAGAAATCGTTTGTCCAATAAGCATTATCCGAATAGGGGGCATACATAGACCATTCAATTAGCCCATATTGGATGTGTTATCTCATTCTTTTTCTAAATTAATTTTCACATCTAAAAAATTGCATGTGTATTACTATCGACTTAATCTCATTTTCAGATACTTTATTGTTGAGTAAATTCAGGAACAAAATATTCCTCTTTTTATGTTTGGAGATCATAACATTTTTATTAAAAGAATGCTTACTTCAACAGATAAAAATCAAAGAATAACTACAAAAAAAATATCGATTTCGCTTCTCACTTTCATTTATTTTTGAAATCGTGAAGCTCTACCACTGGATCAACATTTATTAAGTATCCCATACACTAAAGATATTTAATAATATTTTAAACACAACTATAGTGATTATGCAATATCTATAAGAAACAATAATTTCAAATATATATTTAAAATGATAATATCATACCACTGAAAATAATAATAATAAAATAATATATGAATCATGTTTTGACAAATAGATTGATCTTTTATAGAATCTTTTAAGTAATATTAGCTTTTTAAATATATAATTCATACATAAATAAAACCTCTCCCGCAATAAAAGGCTCCGTACCTTCTATAATGGTGAATCAAACAAGTTTTTGTGAGGAGCCTTCTATTAGTTAGAAATCTATGACTGATAATTACAAAAATATGTGAAATTTTCAAATTGAATGTTTATTCGAGTTAATTGATTAATCTAAATTTTTTTCTTCCTATTTAGTTAATGAAGATATTTCTTCATCCATTTATTCAAACATTTCGGTGGAGATCATCATCAGACTTCGTCACTGATGATATAGTTGACAAGGAGAATTTCTACATATGATCTGTTTTCTTCTTTTGTTTGAATACTGATACTGAGGAAGATGATGATGATGAATAGTCATTCAACCCTACTAACTTCAACCACTCCCACCCAACACCTTTCTCTATGGTATCACACTAATTCAAATGTTTTATTTTCCACTATTTATTTAATCAATATGGATTTAAAACAGAAAATTGAGTGTAGGTATGAAGAAGATGAGAGTATGATATGTAGCTTTGAATGTGTGTACGACTTTTCTTGAGATCTAAATCAACACCAATACTCTGTATGCTCCTTTTGCAGTTGATCAACCACAAAAATTCGTCAAAATAGTTAATTTCTATTTTTAATGAACTATGAAAAGCAACTGTTTCAGTGATATAGGAAACTTAAAAGAACTCAAGAATTAATTATATTCATAATAGCCAAAGATAAATATTTGGCTAAGTGAAATAAAAAATTCTACTGTGTCAGTATTGTTCTCATGATGTACTTTATGAGCAAATTGTGAATAGAAGATTTTAAAAAAAAAGTACATGTAAATAGAGAATGAGAGAGTAATGAAAAAATAACATTAATTCATTGTTTTTTTAATTTTATTTTAGAGATGATTTCTTTGTTTTATTATGTTACGCTATATCATTAAAATTTATTAACAGTGATGAAAATCATGGTAGTTTCGATTCTGTAATGTAATTTTTCATTATGTTTTGTCTGTGTCAAATCAAAAATATACTACAATTCTTAATTGATTATGTTGTCTATCGATACAAAATATTGATAAAACAATCGTGTGGAAGTCTTACAACACTTATTTTCTGAACACCTTTAATAAACTAAAATATTCTTTCACAAAAATCAGTATGGACAAAGATGTTTTTATTTTTCGAGTTAGTGAGATTTGAACATTTAAGGAAACACAAATTATACTTTTCTCTATTCATTGTCTATTAAATGAAATTCTGATATCGCTAAGATTATGAGTGAAAGCAAGAATAAGCATCATGTTCTAATACAATAAGAAGAATTATCTGTAGAATATATTATAGCATTTGTTTCTGTTATATAAAAGATGCTTTGACAAATTTATATAATAATATATGTGTAAATGGTAGAAAACAAAATAGTGATAGACTTCTTTCAACTCGCAAATATGTTTCAAGTGATAATTAATTATTGCGAATCACAAATGTAGTATACATTCTAAATATACCACTGTATATATATTTGCAATATATTTTCACTCTTATATCTCAAAAATAAAAAATCACTTTGGAAATGTGATAAAACATGTTCAAATTTTTATTAATGGTTCAATGTAGTTTTTGAATTTTGAATAGACACAATTACTTTCGGCTATTTTTAATAAGTTGAAATAAAACACATTTTCTTCGATGTGAAGATTGTAACTTACTATTTTCTCTGACTGAAGACATGATCTAATTTTGAATAATTATAAACATTCATTGTACACATTTCTTTTTTCTTATATTGCTCAAATTATTATTAACAAGAGAACGATTGTATTCTCAATATTAGTGATTTTTATATTGTTTGACATATTCGAACTAAATACTACATTATTGTATGACAAAAGATTGATCATATCATTTTTTTTTCTTTCATCTTTTGGGTTATTCAACAATGGAACACTCAGAAAGCGACTTTGGCTTGATTTCTCTTTCTCTTGAATTCACAACAATCATAAAGAAAAATATATAGAATATGGTTGAGTATGAATCTTTTAATAACACATTGAGTCGATCGATAAGAATGCAAGTATGAACCTTTATTTTTCAGTCATAACTTTCATCGACATGTATTTGCATAGTAAAGCAACTTCAACAGTAATTTTTCGTAATAAAATCTAACTTCTTATTTGTTGCGTTCTTTTCATCAGCAGCAGAATTTTGAAATTGTACGACGCCCTGCGAATGCTTTATTTTAGTATATATATATATATAACGGACAGATGTGTTTTTATTGCACGAGGAAAAATTGATCTTTTTTTATTTCATTACTGCATATCATATCATCAATAAAAAATTTACTAAACTTATAATAACATCTAATTGTCGACAAATGAGTGAATGGACGATAGCAGAATGTAATTCAGCACCAAGTGAATATAGGTCGAACAAGGTAAGCAACTACAATGGTGTTATGATTGATGTTTTTTCAGTCGATTCTAAAAAATCTCATTTTAATGACGAAAACAATAAGAAGTGAGAAACATTGATAATAGATTAAGTTTTCATATAAATCAGATTAATTATGTCTTTAGCAAGATATTATCAAGTAAACGAAAACGATATTTGAGAGCATCGCGTCCATTCTTCTGTGATCTATTATTAAGTGTACTGGCAGGTGGTATAATATTAGCTACTGTAATTACCATGTGGTCTACATCTTCAACTATAACAACAACAGACAGTATGTACAACAATTCTTCTCCAAAATTTTCATCCATATTTCATTAGCTGATATTATTCAAAAACGTCAATATTAAAATAATCTATTATTCGATTAATTCTAATCATTTTCATAATGTTTAACATTTCCAAAAGCCAAAGAAAATCTAATAATAATAGATATGACGAGTCGTTTGATCTCTTCTAATAGTGAGCTTCTCGTTTTCTTCCAGAGATCTATGACAAATTACTACGAGAGTAAGTTTTAAACTTTCGTAAAGAATATCGATTAGAATATAATGTTTTTTTTTTGTCATGAATTGATATAGAAAATAGCTAAACTATGTCAAAAAATCATTTAATTCAGATCTCGAACAATATGAATTGAATGCTGGTAATTATGAGACAACGATTTTTTTTTTCGATGCATAGAATTTATAAATATTTAAAACACATTACGATCTAAAAGTTGATTTATTCATGCATTGCATAAATCTACTTATCATCTATCAATACGAAAATAATAATTGATAAATTATATTCGGAAGAAAAGAATATTTGACACAAATTTAGATTTTAATTAAAATAGACAAGGTTTCTTTTATGCACCCTTAAAAAAAGTCTTGTTTTGTTCGATTATTGTTTTTCTTTTTGGATGCTATAGTGAAGATTATATTTTATTGTTTTTCAATTATGAATTATATATGAAATGTCTGAAATTTGCAACGAAATCTTTTGTATTCAATTTCAATGCATCTTACAAATTCGTATTTTATTTAAAACATTATATAAATATTGCTAACAGAAGTTTTAAATAGTTTTCTCATCTACTCATATCACAACAACGTCGCATATCAGAGAAATGAGAACAATATATTTCAAACTGAGAAGAATTACTAAACCTGAAACAATATCACTGAAAACTATTGTATTTTGAGATACTTCTCTTTAGAATATGCGACATTTATCGGTGAATGAGGGTCTAACCATCGGTATGAGTGGATGTGAGTGGGATAAGATATTGTTTTCTCTATTGGTGTTGCCATATCTTTTGTTTACTAATCTATTCACACTTATATCCATAGCATAGCTAATTCACAACTTAATGAATAGGATATCATCGATCGGCTTACACAATTTCTGTCTGAATGTGAGTGTCACAGAGGGTGACTATGAAGATAATGAATTACACTAATACTTCACACACCGAGGAGAATGCAGAAAATACTGGCAATACTGAATCTGAAGTTCATAGATAATACAAAAAACAAATTGATTTGTCTTTTTCGCGATGTAATTGAGACGATAACTTTAGTTCTGTTGTTGTACGTGTCTTTGAATAGATCAGTTTTCATATATGATAAGTCTAATATTGTTCTAATATGGTATCCTTGATGTAATTCATCTGTTCATTAGAGCTCTATCAGTGTTTTTGTTGCACTACTTTTATGTAAGTTTGGTTTGAAATATAGAATTGAAACATATAAAACATTCTATCAATTTATACTTTGATCTTTTCAGGTTCTGCTGTTCGATGTATTGATTCTTGTTGATATTTTTTAGGTCAATGACTTGAAAAATATTTAAAGGATACTATATCATTGATTATTCCTGAAAAACAATAACATCTAAAATTTTCAAGAGTCTCTCGATTACATATCACTTAGTATTTGGAGGATTTTCTTAATTCTATCTCTTATAAATTTGTTGATTTATCCTTATAACAAATCCTAATAACAACTAAATGAAAAGTTGTATTAATAGCCACAACTACCTCGACAACTTCAACTACAGTCACGACAACAACAACAACAACAACAACAACTTCAACAACATCAAAAACAACATCGACAACATCGTCGACAACCTCAACAACAGCAACGACAACGACATCAACGACTTCGACAACAGTTACAACTTCAACAACTACCACGGTACAAATGCCTGGTATGTATCATTCTAATTTATCAGATCTAAGTGTTTTAGGAAGAATTTTTCCTTTTCTAAAGATATTTTGTGTAGAAAAGCCTTTCATCAATCCGATTATTTCTTTTTCAGATAGTATTACCACAAAATACTTTGTATCTAAAGAATTTAAGTTTTTTTTTTATAGCGTTTTGAACGATCGGATATTTTCTGAAAAAAAAAATGATAACACTATCTGGAAATATTCTACTTTAAAAATAAAAATTCTCTTCAGTTACGTAAAACATTAAAAGATCGACAGTAACAAAGAGACATTATTTTCATATGATTCAATTTAAATTTCATGATAAAAAAACTGCAACAGAGTTTTCATGTAACATAAACTCGCAGAAGAAGAATTGTTCAGTTGTAACATTTACGATAGTCGTAAAGGCAGAAGAGTAAACGTTGTGTATGTAAATCTAGCTTCGCTATCGTCTAATATTTTATAGATTTTTAAAGTTGATCATATAATGGGACTATACTTAGAAATTTTTCTCTTCTAATTTTCCAACAGTCAAGAATTCTTTATAAAGAAATCATATTGTCTTTAAGTAAGTCTCTATCACACACACAGTTTAATTATTCTTATTGATGTTAATTATGTATGAGTAATGATGCCAAATAAATAAAAGAACTATTAAATCAGATTAGATTTTCTTATTTTTTTTCAATAAAAAAGAAGATCTGAATTAAAGAATAGAGAATTAATTTTTATATGAGATTGCTGAATTTGTCTTTTGAACGAGTTTTTCAAGCAAACATCAGTGAACAACATTGACATCAACACAATCAGACTATGTTGAAAGTAAAAAGAAACAAAAAAGAAAATGGAATGATAGATTTTCAGAAACGAACTTAATCAGATTTGAGATGTGTTAGAACATTTGCAAGGAAAATTTTCTGTTGTTCAATGTAATTTCTAAACTTTGAGGACAAATATTCAACGATAAAATGTCAAAATACTAGAAAAGTCTTTTAGGATAGATTCAATTAGTTATTTTTCATGAATTTCAGATAGTAGAAAAGTTTCAAAGTTATATTTTAATACTCTTGTTTTATCATTTAATTCTGTAACTGATAATATAAAAATCAATATTATGTAAGCACGTCTATTTAGTGAAAACACAGATTTCTTCAAAGCATTCCAAAGCTATTATTATTCGAAACTTGTTCACAACTTTTATTTAACCGAATGAAAATGTTCGAAAGTATGCTGAAGGAATAGACCTATAGTACAAAAAAAATCTGTATTTTAATATGTAATACTTCATTTTTGATACAGACTTTATTGAGCATGTACTTGAAGAAACAGATCTTATCTATAAAGAAAACAATTTTACAGTTTGACAACTCTTAATAGTTGTTTGTTTCATGAAGTTAACTCAGAACATTCGAAGTTTCTTGAACCTACGAAAAAAAAACCTAGTTTTAGAAAGAATAAACTTTCATATTCAACAATACCAGACATGAAATTTGAATATGTGCTCTATGCCTCAGCGACAAAAAATAAAACTCCACAATTAATTATGGAAGATCCATCATCAGTGATAAAATATTTCGTTTTTCTTCTCTAAATGAAAAACAAATCTTTTTTATGATCACTATATATTTTCTATATATTTAATTGAAGAAGTTCTTATCAAAAAGAAGACTTTTCAAAGTCTAATATATATCTTCACTTTTACGAAATGATTGTGTGAAGCCAGATTTGACTCGTTTCTATATTCTAGTGTCAAACAAGAAGAACAGATACACTTTTCACATGAATCAATGTTTTCTTTTGTTCGCCTTTATATGTAGAAAACGTATATTACAATCTTACATTGCTAGGAAACTCACTGAAATAAGCACTAAACCAAATTTTATCTATCACGGCACGCTCCCTCCTGTTAGAAAATCTGTTGCAATATGTTTAAAATGAAGACAAGTAGAGAATTTGAATAAGTTCAAATGAAAGATTCATTTAGATCTTTTCCTAGTTCTTAGAGCTTTTCTGTTAAATGACTGAGTAAGTTATCTGACTGACACCTGAATATTATCAAGGCATTTTGACCTTTCATCGTTACTTTTCATTTCGAACATCCCTTTTTTTCAAAAAGTTATCATTTTTATGATAAAAACATTAGATGTTCGGAATTAGAAAAATACGGATATTCGGAACGATCATCGAAAAATAAACGAATGTTCGCAATTAAAATATAGGGATATTCGGAACAACAATAAAACGGATGTTTTTAAAAAATTTACAACGAGAGTTCGAAATAGAAAACTTCTTGGCCTGTCAACTTTCTTCATCTTTTCATTATGAGAAATAAATGAAGATTATTGAACAAAGAACAATATTCACAGATAGAAAGTCAAACTCTTAAGCAATACAATGGCACAAAGATAGAGAGATATTTCAATAATAAATAAATAACAAAAAAACAGTAAATCTCTATCACTTCTTAACTGATATTTTTGTTTTTTTACGAGTTTTTACTCTCGAGACTATGAGACCTCTTCTCCTTGGTCTACCAATCTATATCGAAGTTCGTTTTGCCCACTATTTATTTTGTCTTGAACATCCTTATGTTTGCGTTCCAAACACTCGGTAGTTTCTTTTTTGAACATCCATCTTTCGTAACTCTGTCGTATGATATAATTCATTCCAAACATCGATTCTCTATCGTACAAACATCCATTTTATTAATTACGGACATCCGTTAAGTTTTTTTCCGAACATCCGATGTCAAATACGAATGTTCGAAATGACAATGACGAAATGTTTGGAGGTCATTATCATTTGCTCTTTTCATTTAGAAACACAAGCTTACGAATTTTTTTATATTTTCTCAACAGAAGATCGTTTAGTTTCTTATTTTAAGACTTATCATTCTCTAGAAAAAGTTATAAAAAGTTTTATTTTGTCTTTTTTTCCTTAGTATTCTGTTTTAGTCTTCTTTCTATATTATTCGTTTATACAAAATAGGTAAACCTATCAATAAAAACAAAATCCTATGTCTTTTGTATTACTATTTTTCATTTGTTTTTATTGTCATATTTTTTATGAACAACACACATTTCTAATCAAGATAAAAAGTCTTGAATACTCAAGAGTAATTCATAAATTAGGGAGCCTGTTATATTGAGTTAGGACCAGAAGTAAAGTGTTGAATAACGATGTACTAACGGCCGTAAACAATCATAGTTATATCTTGTAGAGCTGTAGTGTTGTTCATTTCAATCGAACTGAACCTGTTGCACACTAATGACTTGTCTATGAAATGTTGAGAAATGAATGACATATATTTGTGTTTCATAAATTGAATAGAATAAATAATTATTCGTTGGTAGGATGGTCGATCAGTGGAACTATGAATTATGATCGATATTATCAAACAGACTCTATATTAACAAATGAGAAAATTTTGATTGCCGGTGGATATTCTACCTCGCTTTATGCCTTAAGTACTGCTGAATTGTATGATTCAGCAACATGGAAGTGGACATTAACTGGAAGTATGAGTTATACTCGATATATTCACACAGCATCAGTTTTAATCAATGGAAACGTATTAGTTGCAGGTGGATATTCTACTGCTATTGGGAGTGTAAACACTGCTGAGTTGTATAATCCATCGACAGAAGTATGGACGATCACTGGAAGTATGAGCTATGCTCGATATGGTCACATAGCAGCAATACTATCAAATGGAACAGTATTGATCGCTGGTGGATATTCTTCCACTTATGGTTATTTAAGTACTGCTGAATTGTATAATCCATCAACTGGCATATGGACACTTACAGGAAGTATGAATTATGATCGATATTTTGCCACAGCATCTCTATTAGCTAATGGAAAAGTATTAGTCACAGGTGGATATTCTTCCACTTATGGTGCTTTATATACTACTGAATTGTATAATCCATCAACAGGCGTATGGACACTTACTGGTAGTATGAATTATGGTCGATATGTTCACACAGCATCTGTGTTAACAAATGGAAAAGTTTTAGTCACTGGTGGATATGATAGTGGAATTGATTGGAATACTGCTGAATTGTATGATTCATTAACAGGTCTATGGACAATCACTGGAAGTATGAGTTATTCTCGATACCATCATAAAATGGTCGTCTTGATGAATGGCGCAGTATTAGTCGTTGCTGGATATGATGTCACTAATGGCGTTTTAAACAGTGTCGAATTATATAATTCATCAACAGGTACGTGGACAATTACTACTAGTTTGAGTTATCCTCGCCATGCTCATACGGCAACTGTATTAACAAATGGAAAAATATTAGCTGTAGGTGGAGTTGGAATTAGCTCTTCGGAGCTGTACCAACCATAGCAAACAAATCAAGAATGAAGATTATTTTAATTAATAGACTTGTCCATGAAATTGTAACATATTGACATAAGAATTGGAATATTTTCTATAGTTGAATTATTTTGTTTCCTTTTCCTTTGTGTACTTGTTACATTCTATTCTTTGTATAGTATTCTCATTTCATGCTCTGGTATATTCCTTTCGTTCGATGGGGTGTGGGTGTGGGTGTGTGTAGGGATGCAACAGTGACGGTAACCGTAGATACGGTAACCGGTTCAAACCGTTGTCAAGTAAAAAAGCATTTTTATAAGAAAATAACGATATATTATAAAGGTTGACGAAAGTAAATCGGGGTCGGAGAATCCGAATCTGAAATCGGATCCCTGCACCTTTCAACTTTCACTTTTCAAGACTAAGCTGCTTCTTGAAAATCGTGTTTTTTTCTCGAAACACTTATTCCTGATAAACATTATATGTGAAGACTAAAACTGATATTTTCAAAAACTGACCTCAGATTCGAATTCTCCGACCCCGATCTACTTTCGTCAACCTTTATAAAATATCGTTATTTTCTTATAAAAATGCTTTTTTACTTGACAACGGTTTGAACCGCTTACCGTACCTACAGTTACCGTAGTAGGTAGGGTAACCGTAGGAACGGTTACCGTAGTAGGTGCGGTAACCGTAGGTGCGGTTACCGGAGTAGGTACGGTAACCGTAGGTACGGTTACCGTAGTGGACCGGGGAAACGGTGACGGTTAACCGGTGATTAATCGTCACCGTTGCATCCCTAGGTGTGTGGAGTGTGGGTGTAGGTGTGGGGTGGGTGTGGGGTGTGGGTAGATCTTAGTGTTCTTTCCATTCACACCCACACCCACCTATACCAACACCCACACCCACCCCTATACAGACGCCAACCTACCTCGATCTAGGAAACAATCAAATGCAAGCTATGGAAAAGGGCTATATGCACCATGTGTTACAGAATTAGACCACAATCTTCCTTTCTGTCTCTTATCTCAGCTAAAATGAAATCGAAGATGACGATGTAAAGCAATTGGACAATACGTTATGAATTAATACAGTAATGCTCATTTACATATTGTCTCTCGTACATGCAGGATAGAGTGATTTACATTGTTTTTTTCTTTATTCTTCCCATATCTTGATGTGCATTTTTCGGTCTAGACATTTTGCAACATTATATTTTTACAAAAATGAGATTGAAGACAAAGGAGAACAACATGTTATTGATGTTCACTATCGTTTCGTACTTCTCATTTACATATAAACTTTTTTCTTATGTTAGACTAGAGTGTTAATATTTTATTGTCTTGAAAATAGACCAATGATTGGTTATTATTATGTGGACTACGTAAAGAAAAGATGTAGATGTTTAAATTCACTTTACCTATACACAAAAATGCAATTAAGTTTTCAAGATTTAAAGTGGCATAGTCTTAAACAACTAGTTTCATTAGAGCCGAAATTCAAAACGCATAAAGTGGCATATAATCATTGAGTTATTTATTAGAAATTATTTAGCATTAACGTTAATCGTTAAATTGAAAATCGAATATCAAAAATGCTATAAAAGGCATTTCTAGAAGTACTACAATAATGAAAGTTCTTCATTACGTGAATTTTTTACGAACGAAAAGTTTTTGGTTAACAGAACTCTGAAAGAGAGATGTTCACAAAAAATGTCCATGCAATTGGTTGCACCTGTTGTCAAATATCCTCATCTTAATTGAGTCGATATGAGAGATAAACACAGATAATGATAATCCTGGTGTTCTATTCAGCTACCTACAAGCACAGAGTAACTCATTTTTCTGCATGTTTGTTGATATTTGTAATAGGATGTATCTATAAAGGAGGTAGAACAGCGAAAAATCGAACTTGAAACTTATACTTACTATTTTCTTCAAAAATATGCGTGAATTCCATAATAAAAAAAATGAAAAGATTATGGAAAGAATTCAATTGTTTTTCATAATAAATGACTTGAGATTGATTAGTTAATTTTAGTAGAGATCAACACAACAGAAACAATACAATCAATAATGTCTGAGACAGGATATAGTAAAGATAAAACTTTTTGAGGTTTTCAATGACTATTAGACTGACGTTAGACCATTTATGAATCATCTCGGTTCGAAGAAATATTGCTCCTAAAAATATCAACAACTAAACTTCGAAATGTATTAATATTAATTTTGTTTTTGAGAACTATTAAGCCGATATTTATTTGTTTATGAATATGTCTATCGTTAGGTTTTTCGAAATCTTTCGATTTGACACTTTTTTACGTATTCAGTTTTATATGTACTTAGGGGTATCCAAAAATAGTGGCAGTGGTATTTTTTCTACTTACAGAAAGCTCGAAAAAATTTTCTTTTTTATAAAAAGATAGAGCGTCTTTTGCTCTATTTTTCTATGCGATTTGATCACTATCCATCTAATATCATAGTAATAAAATTTTGATAAAAACTGTTTTTTAATGATACTTAGCTAGTGATCTTAGATCGTAACGGATGAAGCACTTTTGAATT